CCCCAAAACCCCAAAACCCCAAAACCCCAAAATTCTCATAAAATCTGTGATTTAGCTAGTTATTGATTAAATATAAGAAAAGAGAATCATTTACACTCAATATCTCTCCATAATGGTTTTAAAAACCCCATTAAGATTTCTGCCTATATTACCATTAGTATTAGTTTTGGTTAAACAAGAATATCTCTTTGTTTCGGCACTCTAAAATTATCGTGAATTAGTTTACTTAACTTACATCTAGATATTGAGCATGCTGTGAAGTCTTGAGTGATAGCTCAAACTTATTTAACCTAAGAGTAGATTCTTGCTAGTTTGTACTGCTGTAACTATTTTAATTTCTATTGCTCTCATTTTTCTTCAAACTGTACTTGAATCGATCCTCTTAATCATACATATCATTTATTTTCCTATTATGTTTCCTTGGTAGACTATCTGTGTTATTCTGACTGCACTAATTGAAATCCCTAGAGTTGAGTTATCTTTTGTTTTCAAGAGTATTACCGAGATCTATCAAGGCTGTTTTAATCTTGAATTTATTAAATTATGTATTAATTTTTTGTTAATTACCCTTAGGTGGTGTTAAACCAAGTTTTGTACTGAGCTCTTCAACCTTTCTGGCTAATTTTGTTTATTTGGCTGTCAACTCATCAGGGTTCTTATAAAAAGTTTTTATTATTTTGGGACCTAGCTGAAATCCTTAAGTAGATTAGTTGTTGCCATTTGAAATCATACCAAGTATTTAGTCCTTAAGTCTTTCACTTTTCAGAGTGCTAAAACTTTAAAGGGACTGCTATTTTTAAACAGCATGATTTAAATTGTATGATTTATTGTAGTAATCTTAGTTATTGTCTGCATTTTTTAGCACAATCCTAGAATCTTTAGTATTTTTTTACAGGGATTCTTCGAGTTAGTGTTTAAGCTTTTCAATTTTACGATTATTTAAAGATGAGAAGTAGTTTTATTAAACAGATTATTGCTACTAATGATTCATTTTATACTATAATTTATGGATCCCAAGTGGTGATGTAGGAGCAGTTGATTGTTATTAATAATCTCTCTAGAATACCATTTCTATTTATTTTTTCAAAGGATTTAATAGACTACCTGAATTCAAGTTTTATTTCTAAGCTAAATTTGCAGAAAATCTTTCAGCACTAATTTGCCTACTCCCAGCTTAGGAGTCTAGTTATTTGAAAGCCAATAAATTATTCTATCTCTTTTATATACTCATCTACTGGCTTTATAGAGATTCGCGTTCTTCTCTGTTTAGAGAATTCTCTTTACTTTTGAAGTAAAATCCTCTATCATCTTATGATAACTTCTGAGCAGATGCGTAGTCTTTCTTCAGAAAGGATTGCCGACAGTAAGCATTGTTGAACTAATCATTCTCAATGATTATTGAGTTCTTTTAATTAACGTTTAATTTGAATTCTGGGACAAGAAAAGTTGTTTTTCTCTTGGAATTAGAGTCTAGCTAGTTTTCATAATCTTTCATTATTCTTTTATGGTTCTCTGAAATCTTTTTTAATTCATCCTTATGGCTAGATCTTTCTATTTGAAATTAAGAGGCCATCTGATTATGATAATTATAGGTCGGCATATTATGGTTTGAAATTCTTTGTGATAATACCTACTCTGACTCACTGGATTCTACTCGTTGCATTCTAAATTAATCTAGATGTGATTTTAAATCATTGAAATCTGGTGATTTGAAGCTTTATCTCTAAGTTATCACATTATGAGATTCATCTTCATTTTGATTTTATTAGTCATTAAAATATTCGATATGAACATTGTTTTCATAACACTCAATTGGAGAAATTACTTGCTGGCTCCTAGTATTAATAGGATTAATATTGTGAATATTCTTATGGCTTTCTAAAGCTCTTTATACTTCATCTCCAAGTTAAGAAAATTGTGATTAAAATGAAGACCCATATGAAAACAGCATTGCTTGAGAAAGATTTTCATTTATGAGTTTTTATTTTCCTTCAACTTTGATTTAATCTCTATTTGCATTGTCATTATGATGGTTATGCTGTATTGAGCTCAGATCATCATCTATTTCATTTGAATTTCCTTCTAACGCCAAATGAATATCTCTTTCATCGAACTATTAATCCTCAAGTTTATTATTATCTTTCAATTTAATTTGGTAATATTCCGCATCAACCAAATTTGCGCTCATAGGTCTGAAAAGCTACTACTAAGATAGTTGGTTTTGATTAATCTCATCATCGCTCTAGTATTAGCATTTGAATTCCTATTCTCTAACTCTTCTGCTAGTGAAATAATTGTTATCATCAACTCTAGGAGATTGCTCAATTTTTGGAAACTTCAACCTATTCTAACTATCTCGATTTAGGTCCCTTGAACTATTTTGAAGTTTTCCTCTTGGCGAGCTAAATCTTGATAATGCTTAAGGCTATTCTACGCCTTCTTACTAATAAAGCTCATCTTCCTCTTAATCTTGCTGGTCTTAATGCTCCTCATTATTTAGGTATTGATCTGACATATATATTTGAATCTAATTCACCAAGATTTGAATCATCTCCAAATTTACTTTGCCAGTGTCATCTATGTCTAAAATTTTGAAAAGTTTAAAAGCTAGGGTTGGCATCATATTGTATTCTTGGTTAAGGACCTTAGTAAAATCTAGAATAGTAAAGTACCCTTTGCCTCTGTTATCAAATTAGTTAAATATCTATGCATAGTCTATTTCATCCCTCATGAAGATTGCATGAAATAAACTAATGCTTTCTTCATCAAGATCATATAATTCCATTTTGAGATTTAAATTTAATATGTTTAACTGAAATATAAGAATTATAAAATGAAACAATAACTAGATGAGGACTTAAATAATAGGTATAATGTTGCAAGAATAATGAGCTTAAATTATTAGCTTAATTATCTAATATTTACTTTGGTTCGTTTATTCATTGCTACCTTAACGGCTTAGTCTTGCGATTTCATTAGAGAGACAATGAAGGGTAGAAGATAAGTTCATTATCTTCTATCACATTCAACAGCAAGTGTGATTCCTCTTGAGCAGACCAACCCTTTTATCCGAATTCAGTTATAAGATTCATACCTTCACTCTCCAGTCCTCCAAAGCAAAGAAGTTTATACTTGTTGGTATCCTTAACAAATCTGACCATAACCTTGCTTAATGCTGTGGGCAAATCTAAATCGAGTTCCATATTTGTAGCTTCTTGCTTCAAGAAATCAATTTTCCAAGTCTGAGTAGTTGTACATTCCCCATTAGAACCTCCAACAATATACATTTGACCAGAATTGATATCAACATCGAAACCAAATGAGGCAAGTCTTGGAATGTTGCTGATTTAAATGGTAGTCCATTTATTATCATAAATATCAAATCTTTCAACACTAATGCCTGCTAGAATAGGTTTATGACTATCCTTTAATTAACCTGTTATACCCCCATAGACATAGACATATCTTTCTTCCTCACCAACAACTGAACATCCAAATGAATGCCTTTTATTTTGCATGCTAGCAAGCTTTATCCAATTTTGATTCTCAACAAATTCTTCTGCTTCCTTGATTTCCTCTTCTCTGATGAATTCATCCTCTTAGAATTTGAATTTCAATGCATATACAGAGTCTAATGATTCTAGACTTTAAATTGAGTCTTTGCCTCCAATAACTAGGATAGTTAGTGTATTTTTATTATCACCTTTACCTCTTACAACTGCAGCTTAATGTAAGTATACTGGAATTGGTAGAGGTTTATGATCTTAATGGAGCTTCACAACGAGATCTTATTTCCCACCTAATCTTACTTCATACATCATGTCATATCTTGTAACTGATCTTTGCACTTATTAATTAAAGATACCTCCAGAAAAAATAACTTGCTTGATAGGTTTCGCTAGATCCTTAGGAACCAATGTAGCTTAAGAATTTTAGAAAATTGGATAGTCCTCTGCATTTCCAATAAGATCTCCAATATCCCACTTTTTCTTGTCTAAATCAAACTAGCACACATGAATATCATTGAAAACTAGTAGACAATTTTACAATCCTCCTTGATGTTTTTATTCTTCAACTTTAACTACTTCTTTTTTATCATCATCATATAATGCTTCTAGGTCTTCTTCCTATTCATCTATTTTAGCATTTTCACTTAGTTTAAGTTAATCTACTGCGGCTTCAATTTAATTTATCTCAGTTTTACTTTCCTCTTACGATTAATGAATATCACTTTCAACATTTTGTTATTCTGTTTGATCATTTTGCTGGTTTTTCTTAGGATTTTTCATTTTACCAATGATAAGACCATCTGACATTTTTTAAAGATTTGCAAATATTAATTACAAAATCAAGAATTGAATAGATGATTAATGAATTTGTAATGCTCAGTTATGCATATTATTTGCTTGTGGGGTTTTGGGGTTTTGGGG